TGGTAATTGATCTCACCAAATTAATTGATCCTTTTTCTCAGCCCATTCATCCTGTGCTTGACAAAACATACCTAGGTCCTCACATTGGCCACTCAGCTTGTAAAAAGAAAGATACAGGCGTTATCACACTGCTAATTACCTCCCAATTAACAAGTGATTAGACCAAAGTGATTACCAGTAACAGGATGTTAGTTGTCAACTGGTCATTGACAGGTTAATTGGCTATTTTAGTCCAATATGGGGAGAGGATGTCGGATTGTACAGATTACTAGCGTCATTGGGATCAGAAAATGGTGTCGGAATTCGGAATGTACAGATGTCGGATAATTCAATGTTTAAATGGTGATAACATATAAGAACGCTGCCGGGACCCAAAAAATATGTCGGAATTCACAGATTGTCGGATAATTCCGATGTCGGATTATACAGAGTCCACTGTACTATCCGAACATTTAATGAAGTAACTATTCCTTTAAATGTATCGAAGTTTTGTTAAATGAATTTCATTGAGTTTCATTTTGAAACGATTTCAATTGTGAAACTACAGGGAAAAATACAATTGAATACTAACAACCAACATCCTAACAAACACATAAATAAATAATATGTGTATTTGTATTCACATATCCAAGTTGTTTCAACTGCATCCAGCTAGGGTTGTAACTTACAACACAATATACCAGTCTCAATAACGATATGCACAATTATTATAAGTAGATATAAATTTCATTCTACAGCACAGACGATCGCACATCCCACCCCCCCCCCAAAAAAAAAAATTCACTCATTTCATGCTCCAATTAGCAAAAACAATGGAACCAATAACCAGAAATCCCACAACCCACATCCCACCCCCAAAAAAATCCCACATTTCATGCTGCAATTAGCAAAAACAAAGGAACCAATGACCAGAATCCCACATCCCACATTTCATCCTAAAATAGTCTTACAATACAGCAATTAGCTAGTAATCCCACATTTCATCCTAAAATAGTATTACAATACAGCAATTAGCTAGTAATCCCACATCCCACATCCCACATTTAATCCCACATCCCACATTTCATCCTAAAATAGTCTCACAATACAGTAATTAGCTAGTAATCTCACACCAGCTTCATATAGAACAGTTAAGAAAGGGTGACATCCCACATCCCACATTTCATCCTAAAATAGTCTCACAATACAGTAATTAGCTAGTAATCCCACATCCCACATTTTATCCCACATCCCACATTTCATCCTAAAATAGTCTCACAATACAGTAATTAGCTAGTAATCCCACACCAGCTTCATATAGAACAGTTAAGAAAGGGTGACATCCCACATCCCACATTTCATCCTAAAATAGTCTCACAATACAGTAATTAGCTAGTAATCCCACATCCCACATTTTATCCCACATCCCACATTTCTTCCTAAAATAGTCTCACAATACAGTAATTAGCTAGTAATCCCACACCAGCTTCATATAGAACAGTTAAGAAAGGGTGACATCCCACATCCCACATTTCATCCTAAAATAGTCTCACAATACAGTAATTAGCTAGTAATCTCACACCCAGCTTCATTAAGCGTAGTGATACACAATGTCTTCTTCATTAAGAAGTTAATGATTGATTTTAATGAGAAAATTATTTATCACGAATGGATATTTCCCGCTATATTTGAATTACGGTTTGCTTAGCACCACAACAATTGGAATGCTGACTATTCTATATATAGAACAGCTATGAAAGGACAGCGTGACTGGAATATTCTCAGTGGTAAAACGTTTGAATAGTGCCATGTCATGATTAGTCATCCCTTTACATTCTTTAAAAACCTGATGACTCAGCACGTTTTCAAAATCTACCAATGAGCAATGATGATTATTATCTATTAGCCAATGACATGGTTTGAATTCACAGATAGGTGTGCGCACGCTCGCACCCATCTACTTCCACTGCTTACAGAAATGTTATTTGTACTGAGTACAAGCAACAGATAAGGTGTGCTTTTGCTGAACAGATATCATGGGAACAAGAGTTACAGATCGGTTCGTATTCTTTAATACAAAATCTTCGCCATTTAGTCAACATTATCCTGTTAGGATTGAACTTGATGGTAAAACCTTCAACTGTGCTGAGCAGTATTACATGTACATGAAAGCAATGACGTTTGGTGATGTGGATACAGCTCAAAACATTTTAAAAGCCTCTTCTCCTGTTCAACAGAAGAGATTGGGTAGATGTGTCAAAAACTTTATTCAACATAAATGGGATGTGGTGAGCTACAGTGTTGTAAAGAGAGACACCCTGGATAAGTTTACTCAGTCTTCCACTCTTTAACATATGTTAATAAACACCTCTCCAAAAATATTAGCTGAAGCCAGTCCATATGATAGACGGTAGGGTGTTGGACTCTCTCTTCACAACCCAAAGCTATTAAATCCATCTAACTGGAAGGGACAAAACTGGTTAGGAAAAGCCCTGATGGAGGTCAGGCAAGAGCTTATGAACAAGGCTGTTTTGATTGAAAAGTGTTAATTTCCTGTTTACAGTAAACTGAATGGTAAAGCATCTTTATACTCATGGAAGCAGGTTCTGCATCCATCGCACAGCTTGGACGAAACAGTAGTCATGCAGTCTAATGAATGGTTTCAAGATCGCAGTGAATGTGTCAAGGACGCTAAGAGGAAGTTTCAAGATGATTCTAGAACAACTAAAAGAATCATCATCAAAAAGACGAGAAAGGTCTTGTGCATCGACGAAGTAGACAGTGTAAATCACATAAAGCACGCTGAAATTCTTCTCACTTTGTGTTACACTTTGGAACTGTCTAAAATTCTTAGACGGCTGTCCTGTGATTTGTGTTTTGGATGTATGTTCAATTCCGAGGGTGAACTGATCCACACATGTAAGGATATGTCAGAACAGGATCAAGTTGATCGTCTTTTCATGACTTCCATGTCTGAACTCCATGATGAACACGTGATTGACAAATGGGTGGAAGTGTTTAGTGATGATCCATCTCTGAATCATGTGAACATAGTTTCATACAGCTGTAAAGACTATCGGGACACCCATTTTAAAACATCAGACTGGTTTAATGATCTGAAGCAACGTGTTGTTAAGATGTTATTGTTAGAAAATCGCTTTCTATAATTGTGAATTAACCCTATCATTGTATATCTGTGTAGTCTAGAATTCTATTAATTAAAGTATATGTTGTATAATTATTTATACCTTCATGTTATATATATTGCTTGATACAGCCGGTTTCAATAATTGTGAATGTATCCCTATCATTGTATATCTGTGTAACCTTGAATTCTATTAATTAAAGTATATGTTGTATAATTATTTATATCTTCATGTTATATATTGCTTGATACAGCTGGTTCCATTCAGTACATTGTGAGTTCACAAAAGATGAACAGGGTATTGACAGAGAAGCACGAAAAAGCATTAGAAAAGTATTATTATGATCCTCACAATCCAGGAGCCTATTATGGACCATCCAAACTTCGACAGGTATTCAAGACGAAACCTCAACCTGATGTTAACCTCAGAAAGGTGAAATGGTTTGTCAACAACCAAGATGCTTACAGTTTACACAAACCAGTTAAGCATAGATTTAAAAGGATGAAAGTCAGAGTGAATTCCATTGACGAAATGTGGGATGTGGACCTTGGTGATCTTTCACGTTACAGCACAGAAAATCAGGGTATACGTTATTTGCTTGTTGTGATTGACATACTGAGTAGATTTACCTTTGTCCTTCCTTTGGAAAATAAGAAACCAGAGTCCGTGTTGAAAGCCTTTAAAAAAATACTTCAAGAAAGGAAACCAAGAAAGGTACGCGTCGATGGTGGTAGTGAGTTTAAGGGAGTGTTCAAATCTTTTTTGGAAAAACAAAATATTATCATTACTATCGCAGGCAACGAAAACATTAAAAGTAATTATGTAGAACGTTTCAACAGAACACTGAAATCGTTGATCACACGTTACATGACGCACAAAAACACCAAACATTATCTCAGTGTTCTACCTGATTTAGTGTACAACTACAACCATACTATACATTCGTCTTTACCCCTTTTATCTCCTGCTCAAGTCAATAAAAGCAATGAATTGGAAGTATGGCAACACTTGTATGTCAAACCTTTGTTGAAGCCAAAGAAAGCAAAAAGTTCAGTGATAAAGAAATACAGATATAAAGTAGGTGACCGCATCCCATATCTGAGGAAACCTTTCATCAAAGAACTTGATCTGAAGTGGACATAAGAACTCTTTAAAGTTATAGAACGTTTAAAAAAACAAGATATACCTCTGTACAGAATCAAAGATTTCCACGGTGAACTTATTAAAGGGAGTTTTTACACTGCTGAACTGCAGAGGGTTAATAAAGAAGAAGATATTGAGTGGCAAGTGGAAAAGATCTTAAAAAAGAAACACATGAGAGGAAAGACATACGTTTTGGTTCGCTGGTTAGGTTGGCCTAGTTCTTTTGATTCATATGTTGAAGAAAACCAACTGAAAAATCTATGATGGAGAAATATGTTTTTCTCAAGATCTCTGACACACAATATTCTTATTTCAAGGATAACACCCCCTATCATTTTCGCATAAAGCTTAATCAAAGATTGGTGTTTGATGGATTTTGGGTTGTGTCTTTGGGAAAGCTAGACCTCACTCATATGAACAATCCTTACTGTGTAACCTGTGTGACAGTTCACTGGTGGGGAATACACAGTTACCTTTGTTAAGACGCATTGACCTGAGGAATGGTCCCAACTTTTCCTTTGCCAATGAATACAATATCCACATAATGGTCAAAGAGTCACCGGACACTGAAATCTGTATAAAAGCGAGCAATGGAATACCATTGTCATTCTTGAAAGAGGAGACTCATGCAACACTTCACTTGAGACGTTATCCCTTTGCTGATTGAACATGGATTCCCTCCCTCTGTATATCCCTGATTATAGCAAATGGCAGAATTACTTAAAAAAACACATGACAGGTACTTCTCGTGTTGTTAACGGAAAAACTGCCCCTAAAGTTATTCCATCTCTCCGACCTGTTGCTCAACCGGGAGAACCCAAAATCGAACTGCAGATGACTTCAGAACCACAAAGTGTCGTGGAGAGAGCAGATGCCAAAGAGAAGCGTCATAGATCTTTAAAAAGAGATGCAGGTGAACAGGTTGTCACAACCAGGAAGATACGTCAGACAGGCAACATTCCCTCCAAGACAGCTAAACAACATGTCTTTATTGAATAGCAAAGATTTTGAAGAATTGATACTGGGGTCATTAAACCTATTCACTCTGCCACCATATCAGACCAGCATCCAACAACACTATTTTGTAGATGTACGCCCGCTCAGTCAAATTAATGACTCCTCCCCTCTGGAATTTCACATTTCCAATTCGGGCAGCGATTACATCGATTTGAAGCGAACAAGATTGCATATGAAACTCAAAGTCACTCATTCAGATGGCACAGTATTGGATAATGATGAACACGTGGCACCTGTCAATCTGTTTATGCAGGCGTTGTTTTCTCATGTTTCAGTGTATATGCAGAACCAATTGGTGTCTTCGACTAACAATCATTATGCTTACAAGAGCATGATGAAGACATTGCTTAACTATGGAGCCGATGCCAAAAACTCCCAAATGACATCACAGCTGTTTTACAAAGGTGAGGGTGGAAACAATAGTGCCATTGAATCAACCAATTCTGTCTCTGGAACCAATTATGGTTTGACTGCACGTGGTAACTTTATCAAGAAAAGCAAAGAACTGACCATGTCTGGTCCTTTGTATGAAGATGTGTTTGGTATGAAAAGACATTTGATCAATGGAGTAGATTTGACTTTGAAATTGTACAGATCATCACCTGTTTTCTGTTTGATGAGTGGTAAAGCTAAACAAGAGTATACCATTGAGCTACTCGATGCATATCTTCAAATATGCAAACTCAAAGTCAACCCGGCACTGTTCCTAGCTCACAACACCCTGTTCCAAAATAACTCCAATGCACTCTATCCTTTCACTAAGTCTGATGTCAAGGTCAACAGCATCACCGTTTCTCAACTGACACACACCATTGATAACGTGTCCAACCCCATTGCTAATCGCTACATCATTGGCTTTGTGGAAAGCAAGAGTTTGAACGGGGCATATGATGGGAATCCTTTCAACTTTCAATCAAGCATGCTCAAAACTGTCAGCCTCTATGTGAATGGTGTCAGTGCACCTGGTCGTCCAACCCGTGCTGATGATGTGAACAGCTATGTGAACATGTTTGATGGTGCGGTACTTTGGAGAGAAAATCGAGGAAACTGTATTTCTAGAGAAGAGTTTTTGTTAGGAAATGCACTGTTTGTCTTCCAGCTGGAAGAGGTGTGTGGAGAATCTGAATACCTCAATCTGGTGAAATCTGGAAATGTGCGGTTGGAAATTGAGTTAAAAACTGCACTAACCCAAACCTTGAGCTGCAACATTCTCAGTGAAAGAAACTCCATCATAGAAATTGATCAGGCTCGAAACGTCTTCATCAAATAAACACAGAGATGAAAGCTTCGCAGTTGATGTGTGCCCTTCAGTGTGATTCAACCCTACAGAGACATGTCTTGGGGGTGTATGCCAGAGATACGCTTCCTATAATCACGCCTTTCATGCAAAGCCAAGGTGTAGGACTTATTGTGAATACTGAGATCAGACAAAACAGTGGCCGTCCCTGGATTGCAATGTACTTTAAAAACAATAGAGCCGAAATCTTCGCTAGTTTAGCAGATCCTGTTGATGTTGCATTTGATCACTATTTAAAGGTTTATGCTGGTTCTTACTTACGTAACAATCACTAGTTACAATCTGTAGATTCAAATGTCTGTGGGTTCTATTGTTTGTACTATGTCTTATGTAAAATTAAAGCACATCAGAGTCTAAACCATATACTTCATCAGTTTGATATACATAACTTCATGTGGAATGACACCTTTGTATCTGAATATATTTGTAATTATTTCAAATACTGTATTCCTTCTTGTCTAGATTGATTTGATGCTATTAATGTATGCACCAGAAGAAAAAAATCAATAAAATTAGTGTAGATGAGATTATGTTTGTGTTGTGTATAAATACCTTTGTATCATGACATTTAGTGTAGTTCTGTGCTAAAGAGCAATCTGGATACATCATGGAAGAATGTGTGTTACCATTTCAAACTCCCACCACAATATCGGTTGTGGGTGGTTCTTCAAGTGGAAAAACATTTTGGGTTGCACGACTCTTAAAACAAGCTGGTAGCATGTTCGATCCACCGCCCAACCTGATTGTGTATTGCTATGCTGTGTGGCAGGATGTCTACAGCGAACTTGAGAGGGTGATTCCCAACATTCGATTTAAAGATGCATTACCTACGGAAGAGGAGTTAAAATCATATTCCTCAGAATCTGATGAACGGTGTGTACTGGTAGTAGATGACTTCATGCAGGACATTTGTAAGAACCCTCTGTTTTTACATCTTTATACCACACTATCTCATCATCTGGGGATCACAGTCATTAACATACAACAGTCAGCCTTTCCTAAAGGCGAATGTAACAGAACCATGTCTTTAAACACCCATTACTTTGTTCTGTTATCTAACCCACGTTCGCATGAATACAACATTTTGGCATCGCAAATATTTCCAGGACAGAGCAAATATTTTACTGAATCCTTCCAAGATGCAGTGGGGAGAAATAAATATGGGTATCTTGTTTTGGATGCTTCCCCCTATGCTGATGAACCCTATGGACGTTTACGCACAAACATATTTCCTGATGAAGCATGTACAGTCTACTTACTGCAGTCATAGAATTATGCCTAAGATGATATATATCCGTCTCTCTATGAGTGTTTTCATCATTTCACTTTCATCACTTAAACTGAACAGAACCATGGATGAGTGTGGACGCTTCAATGATGTATTCCCATATTGTGTTGAAATAGAGACTCACACTGAGAGCTATCGACAAAAGTATAGTGACAGACTGAAGTCATGAAGGACAATATGATAAAGTCTACTGCTTCAAATGCAAGCTTCGTGTACATCAATGGTTACCTGATGATGATCCCACGACTGAACATTTCAGACTGTCTCCTCACTGTAGCTATATGCACATGGTGTCTGAACCCAAGAAAGGTTAGAAAGTAATAAAATCCTGTTGACTATCCTATACTTGTACATTCGAAAGTGGCACATCGAACATTAAACATCACATCACATCATGAGTGAACTACTAGAAAAACATTTGAAGTTTTCTTCTGATGTTGGAGCAAGCCACTGTTGGACAAAGAAAGGCTTTGTTAAAACATGCATCACGTGAACAGCTTATGTCGGTGATTACTCTTATATTTAACATTCTGAGAGGAATCATACCCTTACCAGACAGTGATAAAATACGACTGACACGCTACAAGAAGTGCATTCGATCTTTAGCCAGCAAGACAGTTAGCAACCACGAGAAACGTGAGCTGATTCTGATGCATCATTCGGTTCTACCCATTTGCATAAGATCCTATCAAGCATACCTCTCATCGATTCACTATGAGCAAACATATGGTTCTTCTGACAAGAGAGACCTACCAGAGGTTGATGAACAATCAAGAAGAACAGATTCCTCTTCAGACAGTGAATCAGACACCGATTCAGGATCATCTGACAACGAAACAAGATCTGAAGATTATGAATCATAATAATGGATCTAGTAACAGCGGTGATGAAGAAGCACATGCATCTGTTGTGAAGGATAACATAGACATCATGCTTCGTGTACCTGAACAGATCATTAGAGGTATTTCGTCTACAAAAAACCATCGGCAAGTTAATGACTTTGTGGATATTTGTGAAAGAAAACATTCTAAACAGACAAATAGGATTGACAGAAGATTTACAACTTGTGTTACCTGATGGTGAGGTGTTGCATGGTTTATATTTAAAACGCAAAGCATCTGATGGTGCGCCTGGTACAGCAAAAGTAAGGGCAACCGAGCCTTTTTTAATATACATCCATCATTCTATACATATTATGTACAAGGAAATAAAAATGGATTACTGAATGACTAGTTTGTCTTGTTTATGGCACACTCATGTTGAGTTTGGTTAGCATCTCCAGTCTCTCTTTTCCTATGTTGGAAAGCAAACCAGAATTCAAATAATCAATGTTTTCATAACAGACGGTATGTCTGTCATGTAAGTCTAGTCTGAGTTGTGTACGTTGCTGTCGTGCTCTTTCTAAAATGTTCTGATGTGGTATTCCACTCAGAGCTTCCTTAAAATAGAGGTCCACCTTTTCAGCACTATCCATCATCACACACTGGTGGTGAATTTGTGAGGGATGATGAATTTCACATCCATAACAATTGTCTTGACACAGTTTTGTGATTCTTCTCTGGAGTTCATTCAGGTAGAGAGTTTCCAGAATAGTCTCAAACTTCCGGCGATTTTGTCTCAAGTCACGTGCACACTCAAGAAACTGTCTTGTGGTGGAAATTTCATGCACTTCCACAGGATATACAGTGTTTGCAGTGATAACACCTTGCTCCATTAATCGTTGTAGAACCCTCTGTGCTGCTTGATAAGCTGCCATACTTGTTCTTCTTAAAGGTCACATGCAACCAAAAAATCAAACATAATTAAAACACAATTATCACTTCTTCATGACATATAATATGCATTGCTGATTATGAAAAAACAAATAAACAAAATTATAAGCGTATAAAGTGCAATATTTTGTACTTGGGTTTACCTCCCTCGAAACGAAGCAGCCGGGATACCGAACCCAGTCAGAGCGGGTGGGTGTGCACTCAAGTGTAACGGCTGGTTCATTAGCAGATGCCGCCTTCACGGCTCATTGTGTGTGTATATATAGAGATGTTGGGTTTTGTAAATACATGCTTATTTTTTGTGTATAACATTTTGCAATCAACAGACATCATAACATGTCATGTGTTCAAGTATCACACCTGCCTGTCTGTGTAATTACATAATGTGACAGAGACCGAACTCGGGCCATAAATCAATGCGTTTTGTTTATGGTGTATAGCCTGATTGGTGTTAAGTTCAAATTGCATGTGGTCAGTGATCGCAGTTGTGTATTGAATATTGTCATTAGCAGACAGACAGGCAGACACACAGGTGTCAATAAAACAAGACATTGAGTTTTGTCTGTGACAACGACATATCTATATCACAGTTAGAAATTGTGTCAACGCTAAATAATGACATTGCTTTTAAGTATCGAACTGAGAAAGTGACTCGGTAAGAAGAACGTGTGGTGAAATAGACAAATGAAATTATATAAACAGTTTATTTACTGTCATAACATATAAAAAGCTCGCGCCTGTGAGATATCAACAAAACATTATGAAAATAGCTCACACCAAAGCCTTCACCGAGTATTCACCAGACAGCCCGCTTCCAAGTTGCGCGAACCTATTTCACTGCGCACGTGCTATGAGCGCAGCCCAGCTGTTGAAACCCGTATTCCCCAGAAAAGTCTGGGGAAAATTAGTGAATCGTTTGAACTCCGATTTCGCGCGTTTTTTTTTTCATCGCGTTATTTTTCAACTTTATAAGTTGAATTTGCATTTTTTGACGCTTTGTTTCGGTAAGTCCATACCGAAAGGTATCAGAATCTGCAAAGTTGTGTTTTACGTTGCATGTGACCTTTAAGGTTTGACCTTCACGCAGCGTTTCACCATTGACATTGATCAACCTGTATACATATCTCTGGATATCCATTTTGATGCTGAAAATGAACAAATCAATAAATTAATAATTAAATAAATAGATAGATAAATGAACAAATAAATATATGATGAATGAGTAAATGAAGTACATACCTGCTGACTACTGTTTTCCTGTGAAGATGTCTTCACATACATAGGGAGTATATACAAAGTTTTAGTTCGGTGAATATCCTTTTGGGACGCTGTGAATAGCATCATCTAACAGATACCGCTTGTCGTCAACTGGTGTCAATGCCACTTTGCTTTGTCTCTCAGTGTACAAAGTGTTATTATGTGATCGAATCAAGTGAAAGGAACATCTGATCCTCTTCTGATCAAACAATGATTGTTTATACATATCATGTCTGAGAAATTTCTTGATGACAGATTTCTTAATGCCTTTGCCTGTCTTTTTTGCGATGACGTTTTTGATTTTTGCATCAGGAAAGAGTACATTTTGCTTTTTTACCCTACAAACTCTAATATGATGCTCCCACCTGCTTCATCCTTCATTTTACCAGTCACCTTGCGATTTGTATCCGAATATAACCCTTTGAGGTCATCAGGTGCATAGTTTGAAGTGTCAAACAAATGCGAATTGAGTTTCATGAACACATAAGGATCCAAAAGGAGCTCATGTGGAGGTGCATGTACATGCATGAACAAACTGTCCGTGTCCGTCATCAAAAGGTCAAGTCTTTCTGGTCCATACTGTCTTTGCATGACATCATAAAAGAAGGAGTACATTTCATATTTGGCTAAATCCAAAATGGTGAAGCCAACTGTAA